AAGATTTATTTATTTATGCATACAGAACTGGGGTACAAGCCAGAGGTGCAGGGGCAGTGAGAGGATTCACCAGAAACAGAGTGGGGAGTAGAACAGGCAAATTGACAAAATACACTGCTGAGGGAGGCAGCGGCCCGGGCAGGGCGGCCCGGTCAGGAGAGGTCTGCTGCACCATGTGGATCACCGCCGGGGCCAGGGATGGAACTCACACTGAAGTGGCTGCGGTTAGCTTGCAGTGCCATGTCCTAACCCATTTCACCACCAGGGAGGGCCCCAGCCCAGCTCTTTTATGCAAAAAAAAAAAAAAAAAAAAAAATTAACAAAAATGTAAAAAATGGCACTTCATACTTTTAATTAAATTTTTTTTTTATTAAAAAAGTGCCTATGGGCCCTCCCTGGTGGCGCAGGTGATCCACATGGTGCGGCAGACCTCTCTTCTCTTGCCCACTGCTCCCCTCAGCAGTGTACTTCGTCAGTCTGCCTGTTCTGCTCCCCACTGTCTCTGGTGGATCCTCTCACCACCCCTGCACCTCTGGCCTGTACCCCAGTTCTGTATGCATAAATAAATAATTTTTTAAAGTGGTTATGGAAATCTTTCTAAAAAAGAAAGTGCCTAGGAGAAGAATCTAAAAAACAAAAGCCAATCACTCTACTACTATGTTTTAATTTTTTTTTTAAGATTTATCTATTTATGCATACAAAAACCAGTGTATAGGCCAGAGGTTCAGGGGATGAGAGAATTCACCAGAGGCAGTGGGGAGCAGAATAAGTAAATCTATTGAAATGCACTGCTGAGGAGAGCAGTGGGCTCACCAAGAGAGGTCTGCTGTGCCTTGTGGGTCACCTCCCTAGCCAGGGAATGAACTCAAGCTGCCGTGGCTTTGATAGCATCATAGTGCTGTGCCTTAACCCATTGCACCACCAGGGAAGGCCCACAAGGGTAACGTTTTTTAAAGGAAATAGTTTTCTACAAGTAAATTGAATCTAAGAGTAATAAATAGATAATTTAATCTAATGGTAGAGCCTACTTAGTAATGGTTTATAAATCATGGCAACCAGGTGAGGTGCCAAAAACATATTAGATTTTTGTTTGAAGAAATAGAAAGGAGAGGGTCTAGTCCCTGGAAAAGACCAGAATGGATTCTTAATATAAACAAAGGACATGTTACTGATACGGTATGCCACCCAGGCCCATGGGCAAGTCCTTCATCTTTCTGCACTTGGTTGAGAAGTGTGATGTGAACAATGGCATAGTTGTGTGACTTAGTGTAATTAGAGCATGCCTGTCAGAAATTTCTGTTTTTGGTAAATACAATCAGACGCTGTCAGGTTGATAACTTCGTCAGTGACAGAAGGAGAAACTGAGGAAGCAATAGTTAGAGATGACCCAGAGCTTAGGAGGAAAGCAGAGAAGCACTTTCAGAACCAGGGTTCGGAACTCTGAATGCAGAAGTTGAGATATAATCAACAGGACAGTCTAGAGATAAGTCAGTTAAATTTTTTTTTTTAATTATACTTTGGATGTAATTTTCTAAATTTTGGCAAATGTATGCAATCATGTAACCATCATCAATGTATGAGTTGTAATCATTCCAGAAAAAAAAACTCTTCATGACCCACCCCCTGGAAAACACTATGAATGTCTGATAAATGAAAGCCAATCAGCGACTTTTTCAGTCTGGCTTCCCACTGGCATTCATCTGTATTCTTTTCATTTGTTTATTCATTCGCCCACTGAAGGGACTTTATTTTCTGCTTTTGGCAATTATAATTAAAGGCACTAGAAAGATTCCCATTCATGTATCCGTTTTTCTTAGTCTTTGTAAATTCCTTTAAGTACCAACAGATGGAACTGTTCTATATATTACTACATGTTATCCTTTACATGAAACTACCACACTGCTCCAAAG